CATTTCTTAACAAAAACCACCTTTTTAACTTTTTTAACAAAACCACCTTTTTACAACCTGGCTCAGAACAATACTACATAGTTATTCCAGAAAATCTTCAAGAATTGGGTCTCATATCATAGAGTTAAAACTTTAAATCATTAACTTGTAATAATTTTTGCAATTTTGTGTCCAAAAAAATTGTTTCGTGCTATATACATTTGTGACGTCAATTCTATAATTACATGCGAAAAATTAAAATTTATTTGGAATAACGGAGGAAAAAGTGAAATTTAACCAATTATACATGATCTTTATAACCTATTGTTGAAATTTTGATATATTGTGGATTACACTAACTATTGTATCCTATAATAAATTCAAAAATTTAGTCATCTTTATCATCTTTAGCATCTCCAATGAAATTTTAATGCACATATCTTACCTGTCATACCAAGAAAACGTTTCAACTCTATATTCTGATCTTTTTCACTACATTCCATTTTGCTCCATGCAAAATCGATCCACCACACAAGAGTCTTACCTACCAATTCATCTCTCTTTACCATTATATTCTCTAATCTAATATCTCCATGCATTACCCCTCTTGTATGTATTGTTTGTAAACCCAAAATAGCCAACTTCTTTTCTTCAGTTGTGACATCATTTCCTAGCTCTGCAAAAGATTTTCCGGCAAATTAAATAAAAATAATTACAAAAGCCTCATGAAGCACTCCATATTTTAGAAGCTTTTGGTATGAAAATTTCCTGAATGTCCATCAGAGGTCCCAGGTAGATTTTAATTTCATTTAGCATTTCGGTTACCAGATACTCATTTTTATACAAGTCAACCATTTTAAGAACGCCTATTTTTTCATAAAACTTTGCTTTAAAAACAGTACCGGATCGACCACTTCCCAACAAATCACCAAAAGAAATTTGGTTGCGTTTATAATTTTTCATGTTTTGAGAAGTTCTTCATTGTCAACCACTTTATCTTTACCTTTTTTTGATATATCATGAGTGATTTTCTTCAAAGCCTTATTAAAAGCGCCCCTTTTCTTAGAACCCGATGGCTGGTCATCATTTCCATCATCCTCGTCATCACTATTATTATCTTCTTCATCATTACCACCAAAGTTAACAGCACTGCTTTCAATATTAGGTGGTGAAGAATGCGAAATTGAGTCTGTTGTACAAGATATATTTTCAAAATAACGTACACATTCAGTGAACGAGGCATGATTATTTGTGTGGCCCTGATTTACATAAACCTCGGGGAAAATGTAAATTATGTTCGGATTTGCTTTGCATGTTGACGGTAAAAAAACCATGTTCGAATGTATGTCGTAAGCAAGCCATATCGTAAGTCACGACCATATATCCAAATGTTTGCCTAACGATTTTAATGATTTTTTGACTTCTTGCATATTCTACTGAACCGTCATCATCCACTGTCAATGCTGTATTATATGCCTCGGACGATTCGACTCCATATCCTATCAAATTTCTCATCAGCTGTTCAGGTTTAATTTCTACTATTGAAAGTATCTGAGAAGCATCTGGATTTTTCAAGAGATTTATATTATTAGCTATACGGCGTATAGCGTCTGGGCAACCTTTAACTCTTCCAAACCCATAACGTTTTCTCCAACTTTCTGGTCTTTCCAAACAAATTAATCTTTGATTGTTAATAGCATCCATCAATTTCAAGAACATATCAATAGCAGAATCTTCGGTGGAAGGAACTTGTACGCGTTGATTCAATATCTAAAGAAATTAAAGAGCCATCAATGTCAGGTCTGCTAAAAATACGGTTGCTTGTGTCAAGGGTTGTTGATGCATTAAAGTAATTAGTAAAAAAAATCGTCCCACTTCCCAACTGGTTCATTAGGAACTTTTCTCGTTGCTAACTTTACTGTGTCCGTTGTTTTAATCGAAAAAACTTCAGGGATGGGAATAACTACTTTAAAAAGTTCTTGTTCTGTAAGAAACTCTGATACTGCAGAATGAAAGAAAAGGCACAAAAAATTAGTGAAAATGTAGTTTAGATTTGGAATATTGGCATATGATACGTTAAGTTTCGAAAACATACCAGGTTTCGAGATTATAGACCTCAAATAATTGAGTTTTATGTTATCATTTAAGGAGTAAACAATATGTCTTCTTTTTTATCGTTATTTATGAGAAAATAATTGAACAAATTAGTCACTTCCTCTTCGATCAATTTATTTTCATTTTGGACGGTGGAAAGACGATAAACCTCTGAATAAATGTTTCTATAGAAGTATTCTTTTTTTGGTAGGAAAATCTTACCAAAAGGATCAAAAATATAGGGGTTTACACCATATCTATCTGTCATGATTGACGTAATACGTGTTTAAAATAAAATTTACTCGAAATCTTTTTATTCATGGCCAAGGTATTAATGTCCAAGGTATTATTTGGTTTTCATTTTTCGCCATGTAATATTCCGATTTAACTTTTCTTTGTATCCTTTCATAGATCAACGTTGACAAAATGGAATACTTTAATAAAACTGATACAAGTAATTGGTCGCTTTTAGGATATCTCCAATGGAGATTTAACTTTTCGGATCTTTCCAATAAATTACGCGAACATAGCGTTTTTTTCGACTTGATCAAAAAGATTTCTGATGGAGATGGAGAAAGAGGTGAAATGGCGAAGTCGATATGGAGGGACTTTAAGGTTGCATTTATTTTTTAAAAAAAGGCTGTTGGTGGGCCAAAGATCTAATGATTCTTGGTAGACCGTGAGTTATTGTTGCTACACACTAGTGAATCGTGAAGTTTACACAGTGATGACCGAGAGTCAGTAGTAATTTGTCAACAGTCCAAAAATAGCGAGAAACTACTGAACCGTGAGTTACAGTGTGTTTTTTGACCGAGAGTCAATTGCTATTTCTCATCAGTACTTGTAGACTTTAATAAATTTATTGAAATGGTTGAAATACTAACTAGTAATTTTTATTCTAAGGATAAAAAAGATTTTCCGGAAGTGAATGCTTTTTGGAATAATCAAGAAAATATGGACGAACTAAGGAAGAAAAAATTATGGCAAATATAGTCTTCAGATGTAAGTACATTTCGTTATTACAGTGACATTATTCAAATCATAAAAATGTCAATTAACATTCCTTTTCGTATCTATTAGTTGAACTATATACACACGCGAGATAAAGAACTGGAAAGATATGTCAAGTTAATTAGAGAGAATAGAGTCAAAGCCCAATACAACGAGCAAACTCAATTTTTTGAGGTAAAGAGAAGTTAGCTTTTTCTTTATGAAATGACGATCGTGTATTTAAGACAAACACATATATTATGGATCTCGGAAGTATCTTAAATGTTAATAATGAATCTGTAAGTTGACATGGATTGTTCTGCCTTTCCCTACTGAGTAAACAGTATCTCTAAAAATTTTATTTCTTTTGGGTGTTAATAGACCAATGAAAATAACATGTATATAAATAGATGTCGCACACCACCCCTTCAAATTTCCACATCTGTAAATCAAAACCTACTTGATAAATTGGATGAAGAGAAACAAAATGCAAAATTAAATACGTAATGAACCATTTTGCAAAAGTTAATTTGTAGTCATTTATTATATTATCTATTAACTTTATCAATCCCGTTTATATTAGTGAACCAATTTTCTCTAATATTATCGATACTACAAATGAGAAGTTGATGGCAAGATTACAAATAGAACGTGATTATTATATAAAACCTATTTTTAATGCTACGACGAAATATATTGACGAATTAATCGAGAATGTTAGTTTTGAGTAACTCATCTTTTTTTTTCAGATTTTCAAATTAACACAACTCCTATATCTCTCTTTCTTTTAGAGTCATAATCGCAAAGATCTCCGCCTGAAGCTTCAGACCTCATTTCTACAATTAGGAGAAATGTATTCTTTTGAAAATCATTATGAAATAAGTTGGGCACACCGATTCGCTGATAAACTGTGAGCTTAATCATTTTGATGGTGTTTGCATTGTCAACATTGAAAATTTATATAATTTATGTTTGATTTAATAATCAATTTCCATTTTGTTTCATTAATAGACTGTCATTTTTTGAAGCATCACTTAACCCACTTATGAATAAAAACTCTGAAGGTTGAATTAACTGTCACCTTTTAACTCCGTTAATCGATGATTGTTTCTTAACATGTGAAGAAATTCAAATACATCGGTGAACATTAAATTTTCTGGTAGAATTTAACATGGAAGACAGTTCTTAACTTTATTATTTTCCTAGATATGAAGAAATGTCTTTAGCTTCAATTTCACGTAAAAATTTATCGAGAGAAGAAGTTGATAGAAAACAACCTGGACATAAAATCGATATTATCTTTCGTATAGATGATATGGAGTATTTCGGAGCAGAGACATTTGTCGATGGAGATTTTCAGAACTCTGGGCCAATAAATTACAAACGTAAACTATTTAGAGAGATGAAAGACCGGTTAGACCGTCTATTGAAGAAATTAAAATTCAAAAAGAAACAATTAAACTTGTGAAACAGATGGTATATCACATGGCGGTAATTATAGAATCTATAGAAAATTTTCATGCATCAAATGATTTCTCATCTTGAAAATTAGTTTAAACTGATTTTATATTTATAAAGGTTATAATGGAAAAATCTACGCCATGTATTACGATATAGATCTTAAATATTATTTTGTATTTGAGACGAGCCAATATAGAATCGGAATTGTGTTCCGAAAAGTCTCAATATTTTAAAAGATATATTGCATTTGAAGGTATATCTTTTATATACGTTTATTTGCTAGTTCATTTCATTTTTTTAACTATTTCTTTCCGTTCCGATGACCACAGAAAGATATAATCCACACCCTTGATATCGTTACGAGAAAAAAAAAGCTTGCCCTACAAACGAGTTCAAAAAAGAGTTATTCTCAATTGGAAATCAGCCTGAAACAACTCAATCTCAAAAAAAAAAGTAATAGGCTTTTATTTCAAGCATCCACCCATTCGTTAATACAAAAATGAATATCACATGCTTTAAAAAGTATGCATGTAAAGGAACCATGAATAATTAAAAAAGAGGCGTTTATCATCTCAAATTGAAAGTGCAACTCAATCAAAAGATATTTTTTTGTTTAATGGATTGCAAAAGTAAGACCCGATTCTCAAAGGTCTTTGCAATACGAGTTATATCTTAGTGCTAATTAGGTATTTTTTTTAATTAATTTTTTATGTTTTTCGCCGATCATAAATTCACTTTTCCTTTCAGCAACAAAATTACCCGAAGCATCGTATAAACCCCGTACAATATTCATGAGGGAAACGTGTTACAAGTAATTAGATCTATTAGTGTGGCCATGTGTATGATAACGTGTCATGCAAGAGCGATTCTAAACCATGCACAGATGATGATGAAATGGGGCAACTATTATTTGGAAAAATCGACAGATATAAACTGCTTTGGTTTAATTGATATTCATTGATGTAATATAAGAGAATCGTATAATGAATAAAGCCGGTTATTCACCGATTTACAATAAATGTTAATAAAGTCAAACATCAAAAGTTTTATTTTTGGATTTTGAAAACGTAATATACACTTTACATGCGTAATTATCTTTTATTATTAGATTCGTATATTTCTGGTATCTTTCACACTTTTAAATGAAGATCGAAACGTAGCCCAATAAAAGATGCAATTTTTTAACATCTGATCACCTTCCTACAAAATTAAAAATTAAGTATCGAGAAACAATTAATATTTTTTTCAAAAAGCGAAGCCATCAATCTTATTTTACTTTACTTTATCGGTTCCCCACGATCAATTTCTAAACTGATTTTCTTTGCATAAATGCATCCATATAACATCCCAGAAAATATGCCTTTTATGACTTTAACCGCTTCTTTATTTTCACCATTTCAAAATTGTTTTCCCTCCCTTATGTGTAGGACTCGTCACCATGTGATTCTTTTTGTGCGATATTAGAAATAAAATTGCCGATGAAACAAACTCTCGTGATACCAATATCAACACTACTATCGTTGCAGGATCAGAATGCTAATTATGCAACGGAAGCACAGAATATCGTCACCATGATCAACAATTTGGTTGCAAGGATCGGTAGAATTGAAGGGAATCTAGAAACATACCAAAATAATTCTAATCAAATTACCACCGAATTCGAATCAATCCGTAGAACCATCGTATCGCTTCAGAGTGAAATTAATCAACGCTATATATTTGCCCGAAGCATGAATAGGAGGGGATCCGATCAACCAAGTGAGGCCTCATTATCCTCCTTCAATAATTCACGCTCGTTCATCAAATTCCTCAGGTAAAGATTAAGTCTAAATGGATTATGTATAACAAAAATGATTAATAAATAATTTGTTATTACAGGTGGATCGATTTACACATCTGCATCTTCTGGACAAAACCAATTTTCAACGCTTTAAAGAAGTCTTCAATAGAAACCTGGGCGCATCCGTGAACTTGGGGAAATATTAGACGAGCGACAGTTATAAATTTTTATAATAATAGAAGTTTTCACACAGGTAGATGGGTAGGTGATATGGAACTGCCATTGCTTTACTACATGTAAAAGGCCTAGAATCCCGGCTGGCATGTTTTTCATGCTTTATTCCTCCCTCTTAGCCCACATTTCTAATTATATAGGTTGGCCTTAACACGTCTTAAAAAATCTAGAACCAATAATTTTACGTGATACATGCTTTGTGGAATGTGAAATATAGCTAAAATGGACACTGTGACACAAACGCGAAACGCGATTCTAAGATATTTTGATCTCTTGAACAATTAAATTTACAGCAACAATTCCATTTTGGATAAGGACAATACCCACCGTTCGTTTTATAAAAGGTTACAAAATATTTGCGATAATCCAGAAATTTCACAGAAGGCTTGGGATCACTCTAAGAAACTTTTGGTAAGTCTATTTACTTGAGAGATTGGAATGGACTTTTATCAATTTCTTGCAACTCCTTGTTGGCCACGTCCTGAAAAGGGTGAGTTGTATTCTCTGCAAGTAATCCTTGCAACCACTTGTTGGCCACGCCCTGACAAGGGTGAGATATACTCTCAGCAAATTTTCACTAGTATAGCTTTCTTTGATCTATTGATTCCGGAGAAAGAATCGGTTATATATTTTAAATATAACAAAGAAATGATCCGTCCATTCCAATTTATTCTTGCCTAATTTACTGAGAAATATCTTCTCACTCTTCTCTTTGTATATAGGTTGATATATAAAGAATGTTAGTACTATATGCAATAACAGGAGGCGTACGGTTTTAAGGGACGTAACTAATGTGGATGAGTCAGAGATTCGAAGTTTTGCTTCCTCGCCACTTTCACAAACTGTAACAAATAAAAACAAAGAAGAATTAGCATTAATGTTCTACCAAATAAAAAACAATGTGTGGCCGAATATACGGACTATTTTTTTCCTAATATGGAAATCCCTTTGCAAACCAATAAAACAGTAGACATTCTTAAAGTGTTAAAGTCAGCTGTTCGTATATTTGACCAAAACACGATCGCATTAGGATCCACTCATGCGTATAAAAGCTCGAATAATTTGTGGGTAGATTCCAAGCAAAATGCAAAAGTGTCTAGAGAGAGTGTCTACAATGCAGAAATGTACCGAATCCTACATAATTGGCTTGTTAAGGTACGTAGTTTTGAAGTGATCGGGCAGTGGCACTTAAAAAGTTTGTAGTGACGAGGATTATCACCATTCATATTGCGATCTAGTAATAAAAAATGTGACATTCTCCAACCTTTAGCAATTTTAGAACTTTTGGCCACAGCATCTCCGGTAAAATTGGATATACATTTTGAACAAGTGTTTAAATACACCGAACGACTCAACCCATTGGAAGCTTGGGTCATTCACTTTTCATGTGAGGATGATATTATAAAAGACTCATATTGGCCAAGCAATGAATTACGGAAGAAAGAGTTAAATGTTGCGCATTTCTGGCACAATAAAAATTTTAAGAATGTTAAAGTGAGTTCCAGATCACTAGATGTCTCTGGTAATTTCCAAGAAATTATAGATGAACAAATTCTCCCCTTTTATGACGTGTATCACACTCATTCGTGCAAATTGTTTCCACGGGTATGATACGAGTAATGTATCTGAAAGAAAAAATCAGGAGTAGATCACGCGATGGTAGATAATTTAGATAGAGTCGGAACTTTGAACAGTGTTTCTCTTCATCCCTCGTGTATTGTATTTGATATTGTATCAATAAAGCAATTAGACCAAAAGGGGTCATTTTTTTCGAAGTGATATTAATTGTATCATGTAATTATATCATGTATATAGTTCTTGTTATATCTCACGAGTTACATTTCGAAACTTTGTAAAGTCACACAATACATGCGTGTTAAATATAAACTGAATTGTTTTCTTTAATTTGGTAAGTCCGTTAGAGCATACGTCAAGCCAGCACACGCTGATATACAAATCTCTTTTCTATTATGAATCAACGAGTTTTGCTCTACACTCTCATTTCATATTGAGAACAATAATACAACCAAATATGCATATCTCTTATTCTCATCACATATATGGCTTACAAATCTCGCAACATAATATTCTCAAAGAAATTGCCCGAGAATCCAATCGACATTAAAATTTCTATGATCACAGATACTAACTAAGTGGAAATATTAACAAATAACTCTGATGCAGAAAAATGATTTATACGTTATAAGTTAATTTAGACCTAGTTAAAAATTTGTATAAATTGAATAAGTTTTTTCCCATTATATCACGAGATCATCTAGTCATGCAGTACTTAAATCCCTTTTTCGTATACCACGACGTAATAACTCATCCTTTTACGATTTGTTAAAATGATATTTTCTAGGGTTTTCCTTCCTTTCTATTGCACTAAGATAGAAGTGCACATCTTTCACCAATTCCTCACGATAATATCCCATGCCTACCTATTTTTCTCAGCCTCAGTAGGGATTAAAAATTTTTCAGGCTCTATCTCTTGATACTCTTGAATTTCCGGTAAGCTCTGTATAGTGATTATAACCTTCTTTTGAGAAAATAGTGATCATTTTTACCTATACAGCTCCAATAACCCCATAGACCTAAACATGTATACATACATATACTGGGCATTTGGCTTTTGAATTGGTATTTATACATCCCGATGCCATGCATTCGAATTAGTATATGTCAAGTAAGGGAAGCGTTTATGTACTGCATCATGGATTATATCTTTCTCTTCCAGAAATTTAAAAATCTTGATAACACTGTTCTGTGAGATATAGTTATTGATATTCTTTTCTACTTGTGAGATCCAGAAGTTTCAGAGTTTATCCAAGGGTCAAGCCCGGTCTCTTCTGTATATGTTCTATATAAGCTCGAATGAATTTTATCAGTCAAAGGGCTTGGTGAATCAACCAATTTAGCATGCCAGTCAAAATATATGTTATCATTCTATATGAGTACATTCTGCGCATATTCTGAAATAGCAATTAAAAAAATAAATATAGTTAACTAATCTACAAAACTTTTGAACTGGAGAATTTATACCTGGGTGGTTTTATAATTTCTCAATTTCATGTTTTCCACATTTAATGAAATATGATATCTACCTTTTACACTTTTCCCTTCCTCATGACTTAACTTACATACTGGACATAATGAATCCTCAATCATTCTATTTTTCACTACTGAATTCTTTGTATAAATCAGAATATCGCAACTAGGGTCTTCTTGGTTTCTGCTAGATCACATGTCCGTGAAGAATGATTATTTCTACAGAATTATATTTTAGTAATAGCATCTGCGCTATATGTAACCTCAATTTTATCTATTTCTTTAAACAATGTACAGTATAAATAGTTTTAGCCTTTTGAGTCATTTTGCACAAATACTCTCTCTTGACATCAGGAAGATATGGTTCCATTTCGTCATAAATCTATGTTCTTGCCATCTTATCGGAAATATTATTTTCTAAACTATTAGTTTTAACTTTTCTTTCGATTTCCTCACTATAATAATACCCACGCAATTTTTCTTTTCGACCAGTTTTTTCGGCCTTGTCAAATAAACGAGTTAAGTAAGGTACGGAACCTGGAATTAGATCTGTGCCAACTGAAATATCTAGAATTTGTTTGCCAGATAAAAGAATTCAGAGGAGTTTATTTAGATTTCGTAAGAATGTGGAATTATGAGCCCTAGTCACCTTGTGACTGTTTTCAACAATAAATTCAAAAAACTCACATATTAAACCTTGTTCCACTTTTTGATTATAGGGAATTTTGGTACGAATGTATTAGCTCCTGCTATTTCAGAAGAAATGGCACTCTGTACTTGATTAGTAAACGATTTGGATTCGAAACTAGAAGGTTTTATTTCTGAAACATTTATTCAGATGCAAAGACGCCCTTACTCTGTGAGATGGAAATTTGCGGCGAGTCAGGACAGGCATTCTGAAATGTTGATTGGTTATTTTTTTGTTCAGAAGTAATAATAGAGGGAGTGTCATGATCTTGAAATTTTCTTTTCCCTATTCTGCAAATCCAGAAATTCGTTTCCTCTTTCTCTTCTAATGATATTGTTTCTGTGGGAATAGGAAATGTGGACTCCTCATTATGTGAGACTATATGTTCAGAGATATTAGAATTAACTTTGGGAAAGGAGTGTAGCTCTATTGCACTTGCAACAATAGCACTCTGCGTCTGCTCAAGATTTACAATGTCATTGCTATCACAATTATTAATTGATAGAATAGGCTTTGTGGAGTTACTGATAAGACCAGAGAAACTGGAAACGGTAAAGCAATATTAGTAGTTCGATTTCGTTTTATTATTTGTTTTAATTTTGTATTTTCGATCCTAAGATTAACAATTTCTTCTATAATCTGTTTACCTTGGTATTTTCAACCTCGAGGTTGGCAACTTGCCATTTCAATAAATCAAGTTCTGATGACATGTTTTATAATAATTTTTATATAAGGCACGATTTATTTAAATTGTCAAGTTAAAAAAATATGTTTCCGTTCCAATTTGGAACACAAATTTCAGAATTTCTATTTCTATTTTTTCCGTTATCTCGACTTTTTTCCGAATCTCGGTAAAGAAACAAATTACATGCATTGGTCTGTTATCTTGTGATTATTATCAGCATATATTATCTGAAAAAATATGTTTCCGTTCCAATTTGGAATGCAAATTACTTTGCCAAGAAATTCTGCTTTCTTTATAAAAAATATATAAAAAATGGATTAAGCAGTTTCTTGTCCTGGACAATGTTGAGGGCAACTCAAACATTTCTTTTTTTGGGGGTAGGCTAAAGCGGAGTAGAATCATGTGAGGTGATTTCGGGTTAAGGCGGAAGTGTGATCGTATCACAT